CATCAATGATGAGAGAGAATCATTGCTCAGCTGCCTACTGCACGCCCTCACCCCACTGGGGATTGAGCCTGCAACCTGCTGTGCCCTGACCAGGAATTGAACCGTGACCTCCCGGTTCACAGGTGGACACTCAACCACTGAGCCATGCCGGCTGGGTTGAAATCCTGTTTTTTAGGTAAAGCAACTTTCACACGGGAAAGCCGAAGTCTGTACACCGGCCGGAGACTGTGTTTGGTGCCTGAGTGCAGCCTGAAGGCAGGGCGGTGCCTGGAGGTGGCTTCTTCGAGCTGGCGGGCAGCCTGCTGGAGAGGAGAGCTTTTGTTTTCTCCTGACATTTCTCTGCAAACGGTTCGTTTGTCTACAGACAGACGGGGGCGTCGTTACTGGAACTATAGTTTCCCCAGGGGAACGGTCCGTGGGGAGAGAGAGAGAGAGAGAGAGAATCCTGAAACGTTCTAGTCATTTCTGCGGAAGCCAGTCGGACGGCCAGGGCTCTCCCTCCTCGCCAGCTGTGCTCTGAGCCAAGCACCACACACCCCTCTGGACCATCAGGGTGGTCGCTGCGGGCCAGAGGCAGAGGCGCTGGGCTGCGAGTCAGGAAATTCAGGGTCAAGCCCAGGAGCTCGGGGCGACCCACCGAGGGCCTATCGGTCGGGCAGGAAGGAGCAGAGCCTAGAGCCAGACGGACTACCAGGTCCGGTCCCGACTCCCCTCCCCCAAGGCCACGGGACCTGGGCAAGGGGTCAGTCCTCCCGGGCCCGAGTTTCCCGGGTGGGTGGGACGGCCGAGAACAGAGCCCGCACGCCATCATGCGTCCCAGGTGTGTTCGCAGTCATCATTCCTGTACCTGGGCCAGGGGCTACCTCAGGCGGCGGCACTGACGACCCCTTTCTGATACTTCAGTGTGAAATAAAGATGCAGAGCATGTGGTATAAAATGATTGCCCAGGCCCTGGCCAGTGTGGTTCAGTGGATAGAGAGTTGGCTGCGGACTGAAGAGCCCCAGGTTCAATTCCCGTCAGGCTCATGCCTGGGTTGCGGAGTCAATCCCCAGTAGGGGGCGTGTGGCTGATCAATGATTCTCTCTCATCGTTGATGTTTCTCTCTCTCCCTCCCTCTCCCTTCCTTTCTGAAATCAATAAAGAAATATATATATTTTTAAAAAAACCTGATTGCCCAGGGCCCGGCTGGCGAGGCGCCATGGTTGAGTATCGACCTATGAACCAGGAAGTCACAGCTACATTCCCGGTCAGGGCACAGGCCCAGATTGCGGGCTTGATCCCCACAGTGGGGCGTGCAGGAGGCAGCCGATCAGTGATGCTCTCTCATCATTGATGTTTCTCTGTCTGTCTCTCTCCCTCTCCCTTCCTCTTTGAAATCAATAATAAGGTGTTTTTTTAAAGAAAGTACTATAGCCGAAACCGGTTTGGCTCAGTGGATGGAGCATCGGCTTTTTTT